GGAATGGCATCCCCCTGTGTCGATATTACTGCCAGCTTAGGCGGTGGTGGTGGTGCAATGGCTGACATAGTCTGAAGCTCTGCATGGCCATAGTTGTGAGTTCGCGCCGACTCAGTACAATCAGATGAATGCGTGCCGTGAGCCAGTCTGATCCAGTTTTCGTACAATTCAACCCGTTGCGTGTGTGAGTGGTGAATGTGGTGAGTAACAGAAACGAAGTCGAAGTAGTAAAACAAAACATGCTTACTACTACGAAATAAGTAGACAATTATGCAAAGTAAAGATAGTAGATTGTTATTACTATAGTAAATGTGGTCGACTTTAAGCAGTCCAGGCCAGTGCGCAAATAACTGTTCGCTAGTATTTTCGGACCTACTGACACCTCTTCCTACAAATTTCGTAGTGTGTGCCACCTGAACTGTTTTCTCTGTTGTCCTCGTAGTGTCCCCATCTGCTACAGTGTGGAAAAGCCGGCATGACCTGCTCCTCTGGCGTCAAGTACTACCAGTTGGGCCTTACGAAGGTAATCCTGCGTTATTTCAGTGCTCATAACTCAGCTGTTATCAGTTTTTGGTTCGTTCTTCTATCTTTCTGTCTCGCAGTACTATTCAACAGTCCCTTTATAGTGTATTCCTTTTGGCGACTGAAAAAGTGATTTGCTCATCTTTTTTGTTTTTAGGATGCGGCCTACCCCTCCACAGAAAAATTCAGCTATCTGGTCGTGTCTAGGGGCGACTGGCGGCGTTTCGCCAGCCCTGACGAGGTGGCCGAACCTGTTTTTCCGCGCATCGTTTCCACGCTGCCTAACCCCAGAGCGCCCGCGCTGGATATGGATCTCTGCCTTCCCAATGGAGACTGTGAACGGGTCACTTTCTCAAGAACGGGAACAGACAGGTTATCTGACACTCTTTGCTTTTACCTTGATTTACGACGAATTACCATGATTAATTAAAGACTAATGGTGGAAAATATGTGAGGCCGAGGAACTTGAATGGCAGGCAGGAGGGCGTACTCTGGGACTGGAATTAGTGTCGCTCACAGGCCAGGAGTCACAATCCGCCGGTGACTTATGCAACCTTAGGACTCCATTCTGTTCAGCCAGAAGTCTGTTGCCATTCATCTGGTAAAGTGAAATTGTGGTCAAGCCAAATACGTTGGTGACGTAGGCGAACAGGTCCACACGAGGTTGCACGAACACGAACTGGCTGTGATGTGGAAGGAAAAACTTACCCTGGTAGGTCAGGGTGCAGTTCTGACTTCGAGTGCATGAGAGTCTTAGACCAGTCGAAGGGCAGAGTTTCGCACTTACAGCTGGAATCGTGGTACTAGCCCTTAAAATCGACTAATAAGCATATCGATTTGCCAGCCGCTTACCAAGCACTGCGGCGCCTAATCCATGGTTCGACTGAAGGTTATTTCCGGCGCAGGTGAGCTAACTACCTATTGAGTTGTACAATTATCTCATTCCTTAAGGATGAGTTCACGCGAGAGTAATAAACAACTGGTCCCAGCGAAGGCCATCTGCGCCTGATCCCGTTCCCCGATTTTCTTGACTTTGTCTTGACATCGGGCGAAGTTGCATGAGGAAAAAGAGGATGTGAAGATTCTCCATAACGGCACTATTACTCAAAACTAATTCACGTGCATGTCACCTTCCCTGCACCACCCTGTTGTGGAAAATACGGTGGGCATCGTCAAAATCGACGGTCAAACTGTCATACTTTTTGTTAGCACGGGACGTGAGTTTCTGGGTGTTCAAGAACCATGTCCGGAACGTATGACCAGAAGATCACCTGGGCACGAAAGCGGGCTGAGAGAGACGTTATAGTCCGAACATGAGTCTTGAATAGGATCAAGTCATCTGCTTCGTTGGCAGCAGTCTAGACCACGACTGTTAGCCCACCGTGATAGTTTCAAAGCGCGTTTGCTTGTAAGTAAGCGATGGAGTCGCGATGAATCGCTCTCGGTCTGTTTTCCGTCTGCCCCTTTTTCTGAGATAGTGTTTTGACACCGGGGGTTAAAATGAGCTGATGTTTTTTTTATCGTGTGCCGCATACACAAACTCCGTTCTCACATAAGTGAGAAGTGTCAGGCATTGTAGCGTGACTCTATCAGCTTGCTATCTCTAAAGCCGCGATTGATCCTGCTGATCTGCTCAGAGAATGTATCGCCGTTGCAGTTCGTCCTTGGAGTCGTTTGTCTACTAATGTCCCAGAGAGGCTTGTTGTGCAGAGCGTCTGCTCGCTCTTCTGTTGGCTCCATCTGACGGTAACGCAAATTGGCCATCCTTTGAAAGGGGTTACATCACGCCAGTTTTTGTTAAAGCCCTGTTGACGGCGGTTTCGCAGGGCTGCTTTTTGGGTTATTCCTATCGAATTTATTCCGTCCGTTGTCCCTTACCCAAAACCGCCTGTCTTTCTTTGCATTGCCAGGACTCTCTTCTTCTTTCTGAAAAATTCCGCTGCTGGTGATATAGCTCCCTGCCTTCGTTCTACGGAGGACTCAGTGGATGCAGAAGACGATGATGTTGATGATGGTGAGGAGGTGGTGGAGGAGGAGGCAGAGAATTCGGTTGAAGACGAAGAAGAAGAAGGCGGAAGAAGGTAGCCCAGATGACCTGGACGATTATCTTCTTACCTCCCTCCCTCTCCCTCCAAACTACTGTACAGGCGCTTGAGATATTTTATTCTTACCTAAGTACCCATTCTACATAACCTGCCTTTCTCGCTCAGTTCTGTGATTTGTGGGGATAAGCACGAGAGGTTTGACGGGTTTTCTGACTGAGTTGGGATTTGAGACCCGACTACGTCCATATTCGTTTGTTTAAACTTTCGTCTGTGTAAGTGAAGGCGCGTGATGACTGACTGACTTTACACATTGGCGCACTTTTTGCGTAAGGCGTCCTTACGTCAGCCGTACGCAGTTGCAGTGGTGGTGCGGTAGGTGTCAA